AGTTTTCGAAAACACAATTAAACACTTTTGGACTAAAACAAAAGCTAAAAGGCGCTAATAAGTAGTCAAAATTCCCACTTGTCAGGGACCTCCTTATTCTCCTCCATCTTTACCACTATAAAATCTACAGGAAATACAAACTTATCCACCCAAACTAAGACAACTTCAACTATCCCCTCGGGCATCAGAGTGGTTTGGTCTGCTAGCTGCAAGGTTATTGGTGCTGACCTTATACCTCCAACCTCATTCTCCAGTTTCCTATAAATAGGCAAGGGAATTAAGTTAATAGAGGCACCAGAATCACATAAAGACTTATCAAATTAATAGTGCCTAAAGAGCAAGGTATAGTAAGACTCCCTGAATCTCCACACTTTTGTGGGAGTATGTTTTGCAAGATTGCGCTGCCATGCTCTGTGAGCTTGACCACTGAGGTCTCTTCTATCTTCCTCTTCTTTGTCACGATTTCCTTCAAGAACTTGGCATAAGCAGCATTTGTGAGAGCACTTCTGTGAATGGTAAATTCACATTAACCTGTTTTAGCATATCCAGAAATCTCTCAAATTGCTTATCCAACTTTTCTCTATATAATATTTGGGGGAAAGGTAAAGCAGACATGTGCTTGCTCTCTTCATGTTCCTCCTTTCTCGAATTCTCTTCCTTCTTCTTTTTCTCATCTCCCTTCTTACCTTTCTTCTTTTTATCAACTTCAATTTTCAGCTGCTCCCTACTTCCTTTTTCGAGTTCCCTATCTTTTTGGACTGGGGTGGGATCTTTCAACACTTACCCACTTCTCAAGGTTATAGCATTCATTGTTTCTTTGAGGTTTCTTTCAATATCAGCGGACAGAGTACCTGAAATTCTCTCAGATAATATTATTGATAGCTGTCCAACCTGTCTTTCCAGGTTTCTAAAACCAGTGCCCAGTTCTTTGATAGCTGAGCTATGAGCTTCAAGCCTCACATCAATTTTAAGAATAAAAGCCTTCATTAGATCTTCCATGCCAAACTGAATGGGCTGTTGAGGCTGATATTGCTATCTCTTCTGATTCATAAAACCATAAGCTCCTTGTCCCTAGGTTCTGGGGTTATTCTGTTGCCATGCATTCGCACTACCCCCAGGTGAACTCCATGAAAAACCGGGGTGCTTCTGATCTATTGCATTAAAGTTTTAATTTCCCACAGCATTCACATCCTCAGTTGAAGCTTGACACTCATGAGTAAGGTGTCCTCTTCCACATATATCACAAGTTGTGTGAGGCTCATTGTGTATTGAGGCTAAGGTTAGCTTTCATATTTCTTTAGCCATGGCATCAAGTTGTACCTGCACAGATGTATTGGCATCAACTCGGTGAACACCGTTGATCTTCTTCTTTCAGCACTTTCAGAGGGCCACTAATTTGCTTCTTCAAATAACTCATCAAGAATTGTAACTATCTCCTCTGGAGTCTTCTTCATCAAAGGGGCTTCAGCTGCATTACTCAATGTTGTACGTGAGGCTGGTGTCAATCCATCCCAAATATCTTGGAGTTGTATCCAAAGTTCAATTCCGCTATGTTAGCACTTTCTAATGATCTCATTAAACCTCTCCCATGCTTCAAACACAGTTTCAGACTCTTTCTGGAAGAAATTATGGATTTCTCTTCTAAACTTGCCTGTTTTAGCTAATGAGAAATATTTATCAAGAAATTTTCTGGTCATCTCATCCCATGTTCTAATCGATCTCGTAGGTAAGCTTCGAAGCCACTACTTTGCATCATCTTTGGGTGTGAAGGGCAACTCCCTTAAGTATACTACATTTTGTGACACACCATTGTATTGAAAGGTGTTGATAATCTCCTCGAAGTCCATTAAATGGTTGTTTGGATCTTCTTTCATCTTCCCTTTGAAGACATATCAATTTTAAAGGGTTTGAAGCAACCTTTGCTTCAACTCGAAATTGTTAGCTGCAACTGGAGGTGGCTCAACAATTGATAATCCTTGTTTGTATACCGGTCTAGCATAATCACCAAGTGGTTTCCCAGCACTGGGAGCTATATTTTCGAACTGGGCTGCAGCCAAGGGTTGATTTTGAGAAATTCTCCGAGCCATCTCCTCTTCATAAGTGCATCTCTAATAGTTGCTTCCTCATCATCCCATGCATGTTTTTCTCGTTGTTGGGATGCCTCTCTTGCAGCAGAATCCACATTATCATCATCGTCTCCAGCCATGGTTTCTTTGGTTGAGGATTTCCCAACCTTTTCTAACTTTTTAGTGAAATTTCTTTCCTTCCTCAGCTGTCGCAGTTGCTTTTCTATCTCGGGCTCATATGGTTGCACTTCTTTCGCAGAAGCTCGAGTCATACACAAATCTATACCTGTAGCCTGCGCACTGTCAAAGAACACAAACTGTAACAAAGGGAAAAATAAAATAAAATGAAAAGAAAAAAATTCTTGAATTAGCACTACAACCTATTTTAAACACTATTGATCGTCAATCTCCGACAACGGTGCCAAAGTTTGACGAGCGCAAAAAAACCACTCAAAATTATGCTCTCTAATCAAATATAGTATAGTATAATACCATATCCACAGGGATTGGAGTTAAACAATATTTTCATAGTTTCTAGCTTGATTTCTATTCAAGATGATCAACAGTATAGTTTGATGTCATTAATACTAAAATTAACTAAGAATTTAAAGCTATTGACTAATGACAATCGACGCAAGGAATAAGCAAAAAATGATACCAATAGGAGAAGATAGGGCTTTTACAGGATAGGTGAAAGATAATTGTTTGGGATCTAACTCTAGATAATTCACTTCTAATGTTCAAGTGAGTCTCTTGAATTCACTCAATTATTAGTTCAAATGTTTAGTAGAAACTCCTCTCACGATTTAGTCTCAGCCTCACAAGATGAACCAATTTAAGATATGTGAAGATATGCAAGAATGCCTAGTGGATTGGTTTGTAGGAGAACCTCTCTCGATTATCCTCCTAACTAGGTTTAAACAACAATTCAACTAGCCTCTTCCGATTACTAAGAAGAATTAATGAATTCAACCAAAAATATAATGCAAAGATATCGCAAGTTACGCCTCTCTCGATTGCATGAACAAGTGAATATAGATGCACCAATTAAAACATCCAAAACGATTCAATACATAAAACTAGAGTTATAATACACAAACAAATGTCAATACACCAAATTCATTAAACCATAAAGGGAAGTACTCCATAGTTATGGAGTAATTCATCAAAAATATGTTTAAAGTATAGGAAAACATAAAACAATCCAAACTAGGGTCTTGAGTGAGGATTGAATGATGAATTCCTTGTGCTTTTGATTCTCCAACTCCTCTTTAGCCTCCTTAGGTCTAAAATATGTCAAAATTCCATAAAATAATGTTTTTCGATGTATTTATACTAATTAGGGTCAGGCCCAGACGAAACCACCTTCTCCTAGCCGAAATTGGGTTTTCACTCTGTAAATATTACATAGGTGCACTGCATGGGGAATCACGTCATGCAGAGCATTAATGGACATCTTCAGGGGCTTGACAATTTTTTACAAGCAGCTTTTGTACAGCGGCGGTGCCCCACACTTTGCTCCATGCACCGTTGCTATGGACTTTTCTCAAAGTACGTACTTTTTCTTGATTTTTGATATCCAAATGTGGTTCTCGACCCCCAAACATGATCCCGACTTAATTTCTTGGGCTTTTACTCAGACTTCAAAGCTCCAAATAGCTCTAATTAGTTCCACAACATCTATATAACTCGGAATCACTGCTACAAGGCATAAAACACATAATAAATCCAAAACACAATCAATTAAAGCTCAAACACAACTAAAATGCAGTAAATTAGAGTACAATAAGCGGCTAAAATATATAATTGTAGCCTACCATCACCCCTAGAGGGAATAGGGGGATCCGCCAATGGCTCAACATCTTGACCTTTACCATTTAGGCCCTTAACGTCATCATCTTCAAATTCTTCTTCAGTTCCCGAAAACTCAAAAACGGAACCAGAAGGACCAAGAGCATCAAGCCTCATTGGGAGACCACTTTTAGCAGCCAACTCAAGATCACGGGCCTTAGCAATTTCAGCATCAATTCAAAGATACAAACTTTAGCCACTTCCAAGGTTTTTGTCCTTATGTTGTACCTGGCATAAGTTTTCTCAACAATGAGGGAAGCCGCTCGGTGCTTAAGTTCTTCCTTGAGTTGGGTTACCTTGGCATAAAGGCTTTCTCGAGCGGATCTAACAGATTTGAGGCTAACATCAAGGTCGCGGATAATAGAGCTGAATATTCTATTTTGCTCAATGGTCCTCTTATGCTTCTCCTCCAACTGGGCATATTTCACCCCCGGAACAGCAAGCACTTCAGTTTTGGAGTTCAAGGCTGCCTCTAATTTATTCAATCTTTCAGCAGAGGTAACCTCGTGGTCAGTTGCAGTAAGAACTCCGTTATGGTCTTCATCCCATTTGGCCCTGGGTTCGTCGAATCTAACCCTCAACAGGCCAATTTCTTGGCTAAGGGTTATCACTTCTTGTTCGCTTTGCTGCAAACGAGCCTCCAATACAACAACCTCAGCAGCTTTGGCTTCCAGTTTTGAGAGGCGAGCAACACTTTGCTCCTGCTCTACCAAAAGCTGATCCCATGCGAAGGCTATTTCTTCCTTCTCATAAATCAACCTCTGAAGGCCCTCGAAAGCAAGAAAGTTGGCCTACAAATCAAGAAAGGTAAAACTCAGGATATGTTCAGGCAAAAATAGAAGAAATAACAAAGGAAGAAAAGAATTTACCGTTGCGGCGTTGTGCATGCCGTTGTTCACCAAACACTATATCGAGAGTGCCTGAATCTTTTCCTAATCTTTCTCTGAAGCCTTCATTAGCAAGCTCCACTGGCCGGGATAACAAGTTGCATCCGGTAGAGACCACAATAGTGAAATTCCTCATCCTTTGTAGATCTTCAGAAGGGGCGTCATAATTTTACCCCAAAGTCCCATGAATTGGGGACTAGGGAAGAGGAACACCTTCTTTGTGGTCAGGTGTGACAGGTGGAGATGTTGTAGCAGTTGCTGGTGGAAGAACGGATGAAGGTGGAAATGATGTAGTAGTTGCCGATGACGGTGAAGATGAAGATGAAGATGAAGCTGATGGAGTTGAAGAGTGTGAAGTAGCTGCAACAAACACAATGCTAGTTGTTAGTTGCTCATCAGCCAAGGACAGAAAGGATCCGGTACTCAACCCCAAAATACCAGGTGTGGCGACTAAGATACGGAAGCGAGAGTAGGCATTTTTCATCATATCATATTCCACCCAGACCGCCGAGACATCGTCCTCGGATGATGTAGCCAAATCAACAGGTTGAGCATTCTGTTGAGTTGACGAGGATCATCGTCTTTTATGTAGAGAAGCTCCCTCATCACGAGCTTCTTCATCATCATCAATCATCATGCTTTCTATGACCAGCCCGGGAGGAGGGCTAGCCACTGCAACTACTAGAGATAATTCGGAGCTAGCCACTGCAACCGTAGAGGAGCATCTTCTTTTTGGTTGCTTATTCTCCGGCGGGGACTCTATAACAAATAACTTGTACCCGAGGCAAGCTCAAAGACACCTGTTCGAGTGAGCGTCGCTTGAAGCAGCAATGCCACTTCAGTAGGATCAGCTAGAACATCCTCCTCGGGAATATCAACTAAGCCTTTAGGTAGATCTGATTTCAAGGAAAAGATAGAAAAGATCAATCAATTTCGTCACATAAAAAGATGAAACAATGTTAGTCTGAATTATTATGATTTTTGGCCTTCCACCCATATTTGATGGACATTTGTTGCCACGTACAGATCTCGGGGGTAGTGATGTCCAATATCTTTTGGACCCACTGGCCTGTCATGCCCCGAACCTGGGGGACGAGACCGCCACCCGATGCCTCACCTATCCTTGCGTATCAACTTGCGACTAAGGAACTCTCAACATGTGATATCATACTTTGGTCATGGGCCACATTGCACAACAACTGCTAATGCTGACTAAATATCATTATAAAATTAGGCCAACAAGGCCGTCATAATTATTGCAGCTGACAAACCAACTAAATATACACACCAGGCCTACAAGCTCAACATACTGGACTAGCTGACATGATATATTTACAAGCCTCTACTGGTAGATATACTATGATCGGAACAGCTCCCCGACCTACTCAATAAATATATACATATATACACAAGATGTACATAAAGTCTAGACACAGTAACTTTTGAAAGGCATAGAGCTTACCGATCAAGCTGAACTCGTACAACACATAATGAAGAGGTTTACCTGTCTGTCTGTCTGAACCTGCACGTGAAATGTAGCACCCCCACAAAAGGGACATCAGTATAAAATAATGTACTGAGTATGTAAGGCAATATACTGAGAGTTGAAACTAAAGTGATAATACAATAAGTGAAAGCAAATGGAAGTCAAAGATAATCTGAATATATGCTTACCTGCTGATACTGATTCAACTCTTTCAATATAGTAAGTAAAATAGTTGTCCGGCCTTATAAGGCTCGGTATATATATTTATAAAACTTTTCTGCTGTAATCAGCTCGCTCATAAGCGCTCGACCATACTAGGTGCTGTATCTCGACCAACTGGGCTCGCTCATAGGCGCTCGGCCACAGTAGACTCGGTATATATCTTACCATCTGATCAGAGGTTGCCCAATAGGGGACTACCCATCGATTATAGCTCAATGGTAATGAAAATACTTTAATATTGTATATATAAACTCTTTTCTCTCTTGATAGAAGAAAGAAATACTCAATTGAATATGAAGTCCCGATAAGGAGAATATTGTAACTTGCGAGACTAGCAAAATATATGCAAATTTCGGAATATGAATTTTTCTTTATGCCTCATTATCAAACTTGTGTAATGATGAGATCATGCCAAAACCAAGAAAGGGCTTAGCCTTAACATACATGGAGTAGGAAAAATCCGTATGATATTCTTGAAAAAGGTTGCACCGTCCCCCCTTAGAAACGCAAAATTTTACGTTGCTAAAGTTTTAACAATTCTCGTTGGATTGGTTGAAGAATCACGTTGCTTAATCAAATATTTAGAACCTGGTTGAAGTGTTTGGAAAAGAAAAAATTAGAACTTCTAAGAATTGGTAACGTTCTCTTTATGGAGTCTTGAGAATGAAATGTTATTTTTGGTTATTTAAATTAATAAAGTGAAATGTGTCTTTTAACCACTATGCTAAGTTGCCACCTAATTAACAATGACTATGAGTCATTTGTTTGATTTGGTGACTTGCTTCCACAGGGGAGTGGGGTGGACTTTTGATCTTATTCAATAATTAATTAACTAATTAGGTAATATCCCGCTATCCGATAATTAATTAATTACCCGCATAATTAAAAATTATTTCAAATTACTTAAAATTCTACTCATTGTAATATCCTTTGCACATCATACTATCATGGTCATATGGTACCTTGTATGGTACTAGTCCATAAATACTGGGTATTAACACTCGGCCCGTATTTTATCCCGACATGCCAAACATGGGCGAAAATTCATTTTTTGACTTGCTTCCCCTCTCGCCTTCACGAATTTACTCATTACTTGTTGGAAATAGCATAATGCCTATAATCTCAAAATAATCTCATTCTCGAACTTACATCGATTAACTTACGGCGAAACTTTAACATACGAAAATGCGGGATGTAACATCATTCCCCCCTTTGGAACATTCGTCTTTGAATGTTGACTGATGCACTTATCATTCTCATAACCCATATCTCTTACGAATACTTTAGTGCTCCTCTTGCCATCTAGGAAACTGTTCTGTAAATAAGTCTAAAGGCCTGGGCATTCCCCTCTTTAGGCCTTTTTTTACACCACGGCTTATAGTCGAAATCCTTCCAATCTTGTAATTATTGTTACCTTCTATCATGCAGCCTGTACGATACTGACCTTGTAAGTGTGCCTATGCGACGCTTCTCTCCTTTTTCATCCAGCTTTTAGCCAATCTCTAGGCCTTACTTTGTAAACATATACAAAGCTTATTAGGATGCCTCTCTGGGCATCTATAAGTGTACTGAAGTTCTTCGTTCGGTACTTTGTAGAACTTGCGAATATGGCGATATCTTATTTCATAGACCTAGTTATCCATTCATATGACTTTACTGCATCTACGTAGGTCATACTATACCATAATTCTTACTTCGATTTATCGTTACTGAGGTCTACAACCAACAGGTTACTCTCGTTGTTTATCCTTAAGACTGATGGTCTAATCTCATATCATACTGTTGAACTTTTATCTATCTATTGTTGATTCACCTTAATGTTGATTCATCATCCCGCTAGGGCTCGCGTCTCATCGGGGACATCTGGAGTAATTAGATTGATCCACCTGGGGGTGATGTTATACTTCCATTACCGTACTTTATAGCATCCCAATGTGACTCACCTTGTATGGGTATTTTAGTCCCTTACAATTCATGAAATCCTCCCCCCCATTTTTTTTCTTCTTCAAATCATTACTCAAGCGAAGGCCCAAACGTCATCCTTTATTTATCACAATTACACCCTCATTCTGTTACCAGGGCAACATTCCATCTCTTCTAAATGCTACTAGTCTTAGACTTCTTTGAGTTCATTCAGGCTATATTGAGTTTTCTATAACTTAGAGGAACCATCAGCTCCTTTGTTTTCACGGGCTTAATCCCGAGGACTTATCCATTTTCGTCACCTTCTCACTTTCCTTCTTCTTATCCTTCCTCTTGTCTTTCTAAAACTTTGTCGTTCTATTATACTTTAGCTTGCAATCAATTTACTTATGCTTTTATGGAACAACAAGCGAGACATCGCATCGTCTCTAACTCTTCTTTTACTCTCTAATTAGACCTTTCGGTACTTAGAAACCATAGGCTGGAAGGTATGCCATTGATGATGCTGCTATCATTCCTGGATACTGAATCCCAGCACTTCTAGTCTTTTACCTGAAGTATGGACCACTCTCATCCTTCTATACTTGAGTATCTCGTACGTTGCTCACATTTACCTTACTTACTTTAAAATATCACCTCACATTCTTCTATCTCTCTTTCATAACCTCCTTCTCACATAGGTATAAATCACATCCACCATTTGAAGCTCTATTATAATACTTGCACCTCTAGTGCCTATATAATCTGGTGGGAGCTCCATACTGAATTCTTATGAGGATGGTATTTTTTTCAAACTAGCTTTATCGTAGAGCCGTTATAGAATATGGTTGATGTTCTATCTCTCTTGCACCTCTAATATTAAGAGTGATTCTTCTATATTTTCAATCATGATTCCTATAACTACTGGGTCCAATAATCGGATTAATAATTTACTTCGTTGATGTAACTCTTTAGTTTTCTCCTTCTTCTAATTAGCCTTTATGTCGGCTTAAGTTATCTTCCGATCTGTGGTTCACGGTATTAGTTATTATGTTTAGCCTTTCATAGGCGCTGAGGAATATGCATGATACAATTCTTTAACAATTTAATCTTTCGTCTAGGACCCGGGCTCAATTCTTCCTTTTAACGCATACCAGAATCTTCTACGGCTGTATATGCTGCATGTATAAACTTCAAACCGTTAAGTGTGTTCATAATGTAACCCACTCTAGATCATTGATCAAATAATTTCTTTTGTTCCACCTTAGCTATTTTTCAATGTAAGCTATTACGTTTCCTGGTCTTTCTGCCCCTTGTTGCGTCCATACTTAGCTTATCTTAGATCCCACACATTTTAGAGTTTTCGTGCAACTCATATGATCTCGGATATTACTTTTAATTTTACTTCTCGTTCATTAGCCACGGTAGGCGCCACATTCTATTGGAGTGCTTACAATGTTGTTATGAGACTGTTGTTACACGACCATTTCCTCTTTAGGTCGTTGTGCTTAGGTTGAAGCCTTCTTCCTTATTTCCTCAGCTAGTATTTCGTTGTAGTACTTAGGGAGAACCCTTGACTCTTGTAAAGCTGTGAGTTTATTACGGACCTTTTGATCTTCTTCCTTGCCTATAATCATATGTAGTTGCTTACCTCCGTGCCCTTGTGCTCATAGGGTTGCTTCTGAACTGATATTTTGACTGCCTTAATAGTGGCACTTTTTTATCCCCGTAACATTCATACATTACCTTTAACTATCCCGACTCCTATTTGAATATATCTCAAGCATTATAATGACATTACTGCGAGGCTGAATTCTCCATGTTGGGGTTTACTACATTTATCTTGCATGATCTACTGATTTGTCTGTAACTTCTTGTCTACTCATGACTAGGCTCTTTCTGAATCAACTACTAACTACTCATCGGACCATTCTCATTTACATATTCCATGTAATCTTTCTTGGGTTATTTCCTTGTCTTAACTTACCTCACGTACTGGCTCTTTATCCATCAATAACATCCCGGGCAGGAACCTTTACTTCCTTTTTTTGACGTTGTGCTTACATAACGTTCTGGAATCATGGCATATCTGTAAGATTTGGATAAGTGCAATCTCATCTCTTTATTATTTTTATCGCATTCTTTCTTTATCATTCCATATTCCCCCCTTTAAGGGAGTACTAAGACTTGAAGTTATGACGAACTGCCCATAGATGTTTTTCCTCTTCATCTTTGGCATCCTTTCACATCATCAATGACCCTTACTTGCCTGGCTATAATCCTTCTGTACCAAGGATAACAAAATTCCTCACTCGCGATGGTGACACTTAGTGTAACTGGCACATGCAGTCCCTTAAGCTTAACTTTGCTTATATTGCTTGCTTTAGGGAAGCGTCTCCCTGAATGACCATT